CAATTACCTTTTTTTATCATGTGTTCTGTATTCTCTTATATACATAATAGTCATGTCTGTCGTGTGATAGTCTGTATGAGTCCATATATCTGACACGGACAGAAAAAGGGTGTCTCTCAATGGAGGGAAATAGGGATGTGGAAAACAAGACAGGAATTCTCTACAATGACACTGTAGAACAATTGAAGGGATGTGGGGCAACTTGTTTGCATGTTTGTTTTGGGTACAAAATATCACAGGTTCAAATCCTGCCATCCCTACTTATTTCTGTTCATAGGATCAGTATATAGGAATATATATATATATATATATATATATATATATATATATATATATATATATATATATATATATATATATATATATATATATATAAATAATAATGGATTAGTGTTAGAAAAAGAACCTTCCTTCTTTACAGTTTTTTCTTTTCAGTTTTTTTCAATTTTGCTAAGAAATAGAAATAAGAAAGCGCTCTTAGTTCAGTTCAGTAGAACGTGGGTCTCCAAAACCTGATGTCGTAGGTTCAAATCCTACATATATAGCGTGATTTTTTCTTCGTTGATCGAATTAGACTGAAATAGAGAGTCAGTCACTTGCACAACAATTAAAATGGGCCTCCCGTGAATTAAAAAAAGGAGGAAGTCAATAAAAAAAATGTTAATTAATCAAAGGTCCAACTAATCACCACGTTTGTATTGTAAATATGCAGTTACGAATAATCCAGCCAAAGTAATAGGAATTAGAGTTACGAATAATCCAGCCAAAGTAATAGGAATTAGACCTAACACGATTCCAAATAGAAAAACTTCAATCATTTCATTTTTTTATGAGGAGAAAAAAAGAGGTACCCTCGCACAAAAGTTGGTCGCCTCTCCTCTCGCCCGGTGATTCGTCAGCTCCGATCCCGGGCTTTACCTCTTCGTGGGCCTTCAGGGCCCTATGGTCCTAGTTGGGCCGCTTGAGTTAATTCATTTATGCTAATCAAATTAAGTAGATCAAGCTCATTAAACTCTTCTGGATTGATTCATTTGATAATAAATTTCAAATATTTAAAACACATCCCACGTAACGTATCCATGAATCAAAAGTGATGATATATAGCTACTCGGTGTCACCGAGTCGGTGATATATATATTTTCCATTATTACACAAATAATGTCTGAAATGCCCTGGAGATAATTTAGATTATTGCATGAAATATGCAACAGCTATACCACTACCCATAATTTGGGAAACAGCATGTAAAAAAAAAACAAGAAAGAAAAGTATAGTTATAAGTTATAACATTCAATGCTAAGACAGCAGCAGAATCAAGAAACTGAAATATAAAATAAAAAAAAAAAAAAAAAAAAAAAAAAAAACAACTTAAAACTTCAAATTCCAACCAATATATATTTATCACCTAAAAGTCTTTCCGGCACGTTGTTCGGTCGATCTTCTAAGCGACTCGATTCTCTGTAGCCTGATCTGCTCCCGAAACTTTGCTATGAATTCATCGGCTTTCTTGTCCACATCCGGCCCTACATCGTTTTTCAAACTATTATTTTTATTGCCTAAACTTCCTTGATCAAAGTAATCATCTTCGCTCTCAACCTCCGAATCCTCGTCACTTGTTTCCATCACAACTTTTTCGTTCGTCTCCTTCTTGAGGAACTTGACATAAGTTTGTGTCGATTCATTAGGCACTTTTCCGTTCACCATTTCCTCGACATAATTCGGCTCATAACCAATGGAGTTTTTTTCCAATTCACTATTACATCTTAACGTTCGAACCGATTTCGCCAAACCATCACTCGATAACTCCTCCGCGGAAGGAACACTCCTCACACTTCGCCTCAATACCTTATCCGAAGAGACTTCATTCTTTGCAAAAACAGAGTTCGACTTCATCAGCACCGACTTTCAAAGGGAGGCTGGTGGTGGCGGTGGCGGCGGCGGCGGCGGTGGTGGTGATCCACTATTTTTGGCCGGAAAATATTCCGACGAAAAAGATTTTGACGGAGATAAATTCTTGGAA